TCAATAACAGTAGGAGACGACATAAACTGGCTTAAGACACTTACAGAATAAGCAATATCTAGACGTGTTACCATTAGATAATTCAGTTTGCCCACCAATCTTTTATACATCTCAGGATCATCAAATAAATCACCATTAGCTGTAAGTTGCAAATTAAGAGTCATTGGAGCATTGCATGGTTTGGCACTTAACTTTCCAGTCTCCTTCAATAATCAATGACATACTTTCTTTGAGATAAGAAGATTCCTCTCATACACCTAGACACTTCAATACCCATAAAATACTTTAATGATCCTAAGTCTTTTGTTTGAAATGAGTCTAGAGGAAGGACTTGAGTGATGTAATGCCGGCTAAATAACTTCCTGTAATAACAATGTCATCGACATAAACCACAAGTAGATTCAAACTAGTCTTAGTACTTCTGAAAAATACATAATGATCAGAAGTGCTTTTCTACATGCCAAATTGGTGTACCACCTCACAAAATCTACCAAACCAAGCTCAAGCACTTTGTTTTAGACCATAAAGAGATTTGCAAAGTTTACACACTTTACCCGACCACAAAATTACCATATACCATGGGTCTAACAAAGATTCTACTTTGCTAATATATAAGACCATAAAGAGATATTTTGTGTCAAAAAGTTTACACACTTTTATACTCCCTCGACCTTTAGGTGACCTTGAGTCAACACAAACCCGCACTCGGCAGAATTTACCATAGATAAAACATTCCTAAAGGTCCCTATGAAGAAAAGCAATTTAAACTTAATATCACTCCAATACTTTTATGTTTTAAAGCCATTTTAGGATGTAGTGTTTAGCCAAGGAAGGTATAGCAAACCAAGAACAGATTACTTAATGTGTGACACCAAATTGGTGTACCACCTCACAAAATCTACCAAACCAAGCTCAAGCACTTTGTTTTAGACCATAAAGAGATTTGCAAAGTTTACACACTTTACCCGACTTGCCTTGAGCAACAAAGCATGGCGATTGCTCCATGTAAACTTCTTCCTAAAGGTCCCTATGAAGAAAGGCATTCTTAACATCCAACTGATGTAAAGGCCAATTAGATGTAGCTGCCAAAGAAATAAACAAATGAACAGAAGACAATTTGGCTATAGAAGAAAAGGTGTTAGAGTAATCAAGTCCATAAATCTGAGAATAGCCCTTAGCAACTAAATGAGCCTTGAGACGAGCAACAGACCCATCAAGATTCACTTTAATGGTGAAAATCCACTTACGACCAATAGCTTTCTTACCTGCAAGGAGAGGCATAAGTTCCCAAGTACTATTAGTATCTAAGGCAGCCATCTTCTCTTTCATTGCTGCACACCAACCAGGATGGGACAAAGCTTGAACAATAGTTGTAGGGCTAGAAACAGAGTCTAGGTTACTGACAAAACAATGAGATGAAGAAGAAAGATCATAACTGATAAAAGAAGAAATAGGATAGGTACACTTGCATTTACATTTTCGAAAAGCAATGGGAAGGTCAAGGTTTGGCTGAGGAGTGAATGGCACAGACTCAGGTTGAGCAGAAGGGACCCGTTCAAAACAAGTCAAGAGTCCCTGGTCTTTTGGAATAAACCTGTTCAAAACGAGGGCGAGTAGATGCTGATGTAGGAGCAAGAATAGGAGCAGCAGATGCTGTAGCAGGAGCAGGTGCAAGATTATGAATAAGAGTAGGAGAGCTAGGAAGTTGCTAAATAGTGTAGACTAAAAGCGCATCATCCTCCCCCTCACTTTTATATATAGAAGAAGAAGGGAAAAATGGAGTATTCTCAAAGAATGTGACATCTACAGAAACAAGATAAAGGTTAAGATCGGGAGAGAAACAACGATACCCTTTTTGATGTCAAGAATACCCAAGCAAAATGCAACGACGAGACTTCGGATCAAATATGGAAACCTGAGGATGAACATCACAAACAAAACAAGTACAACCATAAATACGAGGTTAATTGGGAAATAGAAGCTTATAAGGAAACAAGACACTATGTGAAATTTCACCATTAAGCACAGAAGAAGACATGCAATTGATCAAAAAGCATACAGTAGAAACAACATCAGCCCAAAAATGTTTAGGGACCTCCATTTAGAATAGAAGTGCTCTAGCGACCTCAAGAAGGTGTCGATTTTTTCTTTCTGCAGCCCCATTTTGAGAAGGAGTATCAGCACAAGATGTTTGATGAAGAATACTACTCTGTGACATATAAGATTGGAAGGAACTCAATAGGTATTCTTTAGCATTATCATTTTGCAGTATGCGAACAGAAGTATTAAATTGAGTTTTAATCTCAGCACAAAAGGAACAAAAAATAGAGTATCTCAAAGCGAGCTTTCATTAAAAATAACCATGTAACACGAGAATAATCATCCACAAAAGTAACAAAATACTTAAATCCAGTTTTAGAAATAACAGGACATGAACCCCAATCATCATAATGAACTAACTCAAAAGGGGATGAAGCCCATTTATTGACTCGAGGGACTAAAGGTAGACGATGATGTTTGGCCAATTGACAAGATTCAGATTCTAAAACTAATAAAGACTGAAACTGCAGACATAACTTCTTTAAAGTAGACAATGAAGGATGGCCCAAACGACAATGAATCTCAAGAGGAGATAGGGAACCCGCACAAGCCAGAGATAACGAAACTTGTTCATCTAGAAGATAAAGGCTATTAGACTCACATCCTCTACCAATAATCCGCTTCATGAAAAGATCCTGAAACACACAATAAATAAGATAAAATTTGACACAACAATTCAGTATACGAGCATAATATCCTCAACAATTCATTTATAAGACTTAAGTGCGTATTAAGTCTATTACGGGCAACATGCTATGTCTTACAATAAGGTAAGGTGTGACAACGAGTGATTTTACTAACAGGCAATAGATTAAATGAAAAACGAGGCAAACAGCCCTTCTTCCTTGGGTGGCGGTGAGACAAAATCAGGAGCCTAGGTGGGTAACCTAGACTGACAGTCACCAAAACACAGAAATTCTGCCTATAGCTTCAACGCAAAAGAGCAGGGGTAAAAACAAACTAACTAGCTGAAGGCTTTGATAACATGTAAAATCAATTGAGGAAAAATATATCTATGTTGTATTTCATCAATTAGGAACAAGTATATATATATATACACACACACAAGACACTACAAACCAATTATGATTCTAACTCCTAATAGGACTCTATATACAAAAGACTTCTAACTCCTTAACAGACATTTTTAAAGTTTCAACCTATCTCTCTTGGGAAAATAAGGTTGGAGGGTCCAAACCAGTCAAGGAACTCTTCTATCCAAGATAGTCAAAGCTAAATATTTGTGGATGGGAATTTCATTAATGCCAATTTTGGCATAATAATAGCTATACATGGAAGAGTCTTTTTGGTTCTTAAGAGGATTTAAGGAAGGGACTAAGATAGAGGGTTGGAAATGGGACTAGTGCTAATGTTTGAACACAACCTTGTTTTCCATGATCTTAGAAAGTGGAATGAGGATCTGATTCGAGGTCTGTTGCCTTGCAGATCACATCCTTTATATGTCGCTTAGTTCTCGTAATCTTAGGAGATGAGTTTATTTGGCATTGGAATAGATCCAGAAAACATATAGTAATCGACTTATATGGTTGCATTTAGGTTATGTACTCAAGTACAAGCTCCTCCTGCGAGTTCGGTCTGGAAAACTATATGGAACTTGCATAATCCAGCAAAGGTGAAGTTGTTCTTACGGAGAATGGGGAGAGACTTGGTGCCAACAAAAAGTCGCTAAGTCCAAAAAGGCATTCATATGGAACAAACCTGCATTTAGTGTGACCAGCTACAAGGTGCCTTACACTTGTTCTTTATATGTCCTAATGTTGATGATTTCTTTTCTTCCAAGATTTTATCCAATGGTTTTTAGTATATCCTGCAGAATTGGGATAAGGATAAGTTTGAAGAGGTCTGTGTTGTGGCCCGGTAATTATGGTTCTGTAGAAACTAGACTATTTGGAGTGGTATTCATACCACACCTGACTTGATCGTTACTTTAGGCCTAGGTTTATTTTTTGAATGGAAAGAAGCTCGAGCGCAGAGGCAATGTAAATGCTGCTGTCCCTGATAATTGGCTACCGCCACCTGCTGGGTATGTCAAGTGCAGTATAGATGCTGCAATAAAATCTGATATGCATCAATCCAGCTTTGGGGCTGTCTTTCGAAAATAAGCAGGCCAATTTGAGTTGGGTATTTCTAGTTTTTGGCATGGTAATGATGAGGCGAGATTGGTTGAAGTCATGACAACGAGAGAGGTGCTTTCACGGATCAAGCTTGGGAGATTTTCTAATGTTTTGATTGAAACCGTCCCTCCGTCCTAAAATTATTGAATTATATATATATTTTTTTTTCATATATAACTTTAGACCCTAAAAATTGGATATTATTAATTCCTTGAAACTTTCAAAATAGGATGAGTATTTAATATATTAAGATTTTAAAATTAATTTCTGACTTTTTTTTCCACTATCTGATATTCAAGTAATATTAATTTTTTAGACGGATTTGTGAAAAAGCGGGAAAAAAATTTAGTGAAAAACCAGTAAAAATTGGGCCATTTTTTTAATTTCCTACTCACTAACAGTTTGTTTGAATGAGTGAGAAAAGGGCAATTAGTGAAAAGGTAAGGGAGAATAATAGGATTTACAAAAATAAATAAATAAAAGAAACAATAATGTTTGGAAACAGGTGAATTAACGTCAAGGTTTAAAAAAAGGTAAGAGTTAAATGTAAAAATTAATTTAAATTTCTGTCCTCCCGTGTTTACTTTTACCCATCATTAACTCACTTCAAGCAGGAATTCTTAAGTTATGTATCCCTCCTTTACTTTATTTACTGCCCTTTCACCCTTATCCGAATAGGCTCTAAAAGCCAATTCAGAAATCGTAAGGAACAAAAGAGAGTAAAAAGGGAGAGAAACAAGTCCTTGATATGGCATATACAAAATGTTAAAGATCATGTCCCATGGACCGCCCTGCAAGGAAGCTTTCATAAATTAAAAAATTGACATAATACAAGATGTTCAACCACCAGTCATCTCAAAAATTGTTTCAGACTGTATAAGATGTTATAGTCATTAAACTATTCTACATAGCATATACAAAAATTCCTAAAATTTGCACTAGACTATGAAGCCTGGGAAAAAGTTACAGGCGCCTCGACTTCTGTTGCATCTTCCTTGGGCTCAGCCTCCAATGCAGAAATCAAGGACACTGACTGAATCTTCCCAGCATGCTCCAGCCGCATCAGAATAACGCCCCTGATATAAAAATATTCAGACATTCAATTTCACAGCCAAAAACCAAACAGTAAGCCACCACAAAGGAAAAATATCACATGCTTAGAAACTGAACAAAAAGAATATGACGAATAATGCTGAAAGCAAAATTCACATTCATAAAATCTTCAGAAATCCGAAATCTGAAATAATGCTATAAGGGTGCGTTAGACCATACCCTAGAAGTCCACATCTGTTTATGCCTTTCACCATAAATATTAGTTGACAAAGCACAACACCAAAGGCGATATAAAGAAAAACTTCGAGGCAAAAAAAAAAAAAAAAAAAAAAAAAAAAAAAATAATACAAAAAGATTTGGAGCGTTGATAGTGCATAGATATCTGCTAACAGCACAAACACGGAAGCATCTCGCAGAAAAAAAAAAAAAAAAAAAAAAAGATTTGGAGCTTGAGGCATTGATTCTGCTAACAGCACAAACACGGAAGCATTGGCATGGAGTATATACTATAAACTGAGACGTGCAACATAAAATTGCCACATTGCATGCATGTGTATATTTTGTGGTGTTTATACAAGAGCATCCAAGAACAATTAACTGAGGAAAATACCAAAAGGTATGTTCCTTTTAAATGAATAAACCAAACAAATTATAAAATAAGTATATAATATACCTTGCAAAGCGGGACTGTATTGAAATATCACGAACTTTAATCCTATTTATAGTACCACTTTGGCTTACTAGAACCACTTGCTCATCACTTTCACCATCATCTAAAAAGTAGACAAAGCGGAGACAATTAGCTTCAAAATCATGAAGAGGCCTCAAGTGTAGATTTTGGAACTATACATTTTGTGGCAATTGTATTTATTATTGTCCAACAAAGTGTTTATCAACAACTAAAGAACACGAACTTTCTACTTACAGTTGTCAAAAATTGAATCAAAAAGCAGTCTTTCCATTAACCATGTAACAATACCTGATAATGAGAACCCAACCACAAAAACTGCTGCCAAGCGATCCTCTGCAGCAAACTGAAAAAAGAAAAGGCATGAAATTTCTAATCCCACTATAACTAAATCAAGTAAAAAAAGTGAAAAATAAATAAATAAATAAATAAATTTTACTTTACACTTCAGTTTATTAGAGAGACAGTGATACCTTATAACCAATTAAACCAACTCTATTTAAAGGTGATAGTCGAAAGCTAGTAAGAGGAACCCGCTTTCCATGACCATTCTCAGACACAAATAACAACCATGGAGCCCCACCCTTATTCCTGTTGTCATGCAATGCAGAACAAAATTAAAATATGGGCCAAAAAGAATATATATATACTAAATTCACTGTTAAATTGCACTCATGAGACCAAAAGCAAAAAGAAAACAATCAACAGCAAGGAGGTCAATATAAAACAATATAATATTACAGTCCATCAATACTAAGTTCATTCCATATGGATTCAAACACACAGAAACAGGTTCTCTAAATAAACCTCCTAAGGCAGATCATCATGGATTTTATAGACTTTATGTTGCTCTATTTAGAAGAGAACGATACAAAAGTTACAAAGAGAGGAAGGAACTTAGCCCTTGGTTATTAATAGAGAAAACAAGACAACTGAGACTACAAATGGTAACTTATTCATACAGTTGTTGAAGTAATAAAATACTTTTTAGTAACTATTTATTTATTCATATAGTTGTATGCATCATTCCCTATGAAATATGTATGCCATATATCAAATAATTGTTACATCATCAAATATATATATATATCCATGATGTTTAATAATTTACTTGTTCTTAGGATCTTCTAATATCCTTTCCAAGTCTTCTCGCATTGCAGCCGGTATTATGTCCATGCTTGCCATCTTATCTCCCTGTTTTAGTCTCATGGCCACTCCACCTCTGGTATTCCGGCTTAGTGCTCGGATCTGAGTTAAAAAATGAAGACGATGAGACATTGCATAATTTGAAAGACAGAAAAAGGAGAAGATTGTTACAGAGAAGTCTGTCCTCTAAAAATGTGAAGATGGCTAACAAGAGGTTGGTAAACAAGTAAATGAAGCCTCCAAACAATTTTGAGTGTTTGCTGTACGATCCGAATACCAGATATTACAAGTAAGATTACTTAAAACAACGGAATTTAATTGTTCACAAAAGTGAACTTCAGTTATGAGCAATAATTTAACATTTTGTTCTTAACAGAAAATTACTTAAATCCCTAAGAGTTTTGGCCTAGTATACATTTCCATACATACTTTTCCATGAATTGACAGACACTTTCTTCAATAAACTACCATTAGTGAGAAACGTAAAATTTTCAGACTCTGGGTGCTTATAATGTAACAATATAGGATGAAACTGCAACCAAACTTTAAAATTTTAAGACTGAAGTATAACTATAACTATAGTTTAAATGTCAAGAAGTAAAGTGTAATCACAGTATTATAACCAGGGATTTAAATAACAAAATCAGAAACAGTGTCATAGAACTGTGCTGGACCAGGCCAAATCAGTCTGAATCGACTGCCACTGCATGAAATTTTTTTAAAAAATTAATGGTCTCAAATCAACCAAAAACCAAAACACAAATTACAATATGCAGTATATTAATCCAGCAAAAATCTAAGGAAAATGCTTTTATTGAACAATCAAACAAGGTTTTATCAATAAATTAATTTCAAAACATTTGTATAAAAAGACTGATAATATTGTTAGATAAATTAATGATTTAAAAGAAAGCCTAATAAACGCTAGGATCTAAAGAAAGAAAAACATTAAACAGTAGGGTTATAAATGAAAAGTGTACACCTCACCAAATTGTTTTTCTTCTTTCAAAATTTTATTGGAAATGCAGAATGTAATGTCTCCTCTATCTAGGTCAGCAGCATATTCCCAATCTCCCACACCCCGAACACCCCCCCCCCCCCCCACCCCCCGCCCCCACAACCCCCAACCAAAAAAAAAAAATAAAAAAAAAAAAAAAAAAGAAAAGAAATGAAGAAAGAAGAAAACCCTTTTCCTTGTTCAAAAAAAAAAAAAAAAAAAAAAAAAAAGAAAAAAGAAAGAAAGAAAGAAAAGAAAACCCTTCTCCTTGTTCTTTGTCTGGCCCATTTGCCATTTCAATAAAGGGCCAATGTTTTTACTGAACATTCAAATGTGGTTTCTACCAACAATTTAATCCGATATCATCCTTATAAAAAGACTGATAACATTATTAGATTAAAGAAATGTTTTAAAAAAATACCTAACAAACATTAAGATTTAAAGGGGACAAAAAATATTAAAGAGTAGGGTTATAAAAGAAAAGACCAATGCCCCAAACTAATATTGTTCTTTGAAAATTTTAAAATAGAAAGGATAAAAGAAATGGTTGAATGCATAAATTCACCCCTGAACTTTGCAACTTTAACCTTGTACCACCCTGAATTTTGCGGATGATCTTTCATGAACTTAAGCTTAGAAATTTTGGTAATATTACAAATTTTTCAACACTAATATCAATAATTTTTAGAATTTTTAGCTTTTATCTGCAAAATATGGACTTCACATGTAATTAACATGACTTTTAGAACAATCATTTTTATAAATTTCAAATTTTTAAAGAGTGTTTAAATAATTTAATTTTGCAAGTTGAAGTGTTCAATAAAATAAAAGTTGAGAATGTCACAGGGTTAAAGTGTTCAACTTTTAGAACAATCATTTTTATAAGTTTACAAGTTGAACTGTTTGATGGATCAAAATAAAAATTGAGGATGCCACACAGTTAAAGTAATAAAGTTCAGAGGTGAATTTATGTATTCAGCCAAAAAGAAACCGTAAAAAACAATTGGAAATCCAGAATGTACTGTCTCTACTGTCTCTCTCTATCTAGGCTTGCAGCATATGGTACCCATCCCCAATCTTTCTTCTTCTTTCTCCTTTGACTGGCATCATTTCAGCCATTTCATGGGAATACAACTACCATACCGGTTGTATCATACAATATGCTGGCTTTTTGACATAATGTCAAAATCACGCAGGTGTATAGGAAAACACTGAATTCCCCAGCCAAATAGACATTATGAATCTGGCAAGACTATATGCATGCACCAATATATAACTGAAGGACCAACCGTCACATTATTAAAAGATATCAAAAATCAATTTGCATATACTTTTTAAACAGCATGAGTGAATGAAATATTACAACAAATCTTATGAGGTTTTGCCTTTTATTTTTTATTTTAATAAGAAAAGAAAGCCATGTGATATATTTAGGCAGTAGCCTAAGGTCACACTAATGATTAGAAAGTCGTAGTAGAGGAGCACGGCAGATTCCATGACAGAGATTAGGAAACAAAAGATAGTAAGAAATGCCTTCAAACCAATTTGAATAACACTGAAACTCCAAAATTTACTAAATCAAAATGCTATAGATTAGAGCCAAAGAAACCACTCACTCAGAACAAATTAAATGACATAACCTAATTTCGAAATACAAATACAGGCATTCATTCAAATACTTTGCAATGCAGACAAATTTCAAAATACAGTTCTTAACCTCCTTTCACCGACATCAATCCCCAAAGCCTTTGGAAATACCAACTCTCCTCCACAACATCAAAAGGATAGCCAAGGAAGCCTCAATAAAAAACAGCTGACACTGAATTATGACATTTGGAACATAGAACAGATCAATCAAAGGAAAAAGCCAATATAGCCCTTATTTTCCACAACAAAGGTTTTCGACCAAACTGAACCCCTTGACTTAAGCAGATCTTAGCTTTTATTTTAAATCACAACGAATCCCAAAATTGATCTAAAAACTTACAAATCACCAAGGGCAACATAAAACTTGTAGAAGGAACAAAGAAGGATACATGTTACGATCCTAATTGCACGACAAGGTATGGGCATGTCTTGGATCCCACATTGGAATATGGAATTTCAATGTGTAGTTTCTATGAACTTAGGTTCTCCAACCTTAAGCTAGGTCTTAAGATATGGTTCTCTCAAAATCAAAAACAATCGGTATCAAAGCCAACCATTCTCCAAGTTGCAATTGAGCAGCACAAGTGGTGACACCGGAATTGCAATGTTCATCTGAGGCTAGAAAAAAACCTAGCACAGCCCATCCTAGCACGAAGCCAACCCATTGTGCATGCCGGACTATGAAGCGTGGCAGGATGTTAGGATCTTAATTGCAAGTCAAGGCCTGGGACTTGTCTTGGATTCTATATTGAAAGTACGGAATTTCAATGTGGAGTTTATATGAATTTGAGCTCTCCAATCTTAACATCTACCTTTTGAGATATGATTCTCCATGGTCATAACAATGCATTCCATAACACAATACTCATTCCATTTCAAGCCTTCTATTATCCACATGCTCATAGCAATTCTTCTAACTCCTCTTCTTTTCCATTTTCAGTCCTTCACTCAATGTTCTTGGAAACAAAACAATGAGAATTGATTATTGGGTCCATGTGAAGCAACTACAAATGGCCCTAGGTGAATCTCCATGCACATACTGATAATTCAATTTTCCACATGCTCTTAGCAATTCTTCTAACTACTCTTCTTTTCCACTTTCACTCCTTCGCTCAATGTTCTTGGACACCATACAATGAGAATTGATTATTGATACATGTGAAGCAACAACAAATGGCCCTAGGTGAATCTCCATGCGATTGGGAAGGCATTAATAAACAAAAGATAGAAAAACATAAGATAACATACATTTTCACAGGCACTTAGGATAACCATTCCATTTTGTGAAGCCATTGCCACGAGATCATCATTTGTACAACAGCGAACCCATTTCAATTCATCACCAGGAACCTAGAGAGTCAAAATTTTTGAAGTCTGAGAACAAATAATAACTGCAGGATGGATATTTTAAAATCCAAATGTGCAAAAACAATAAAGTACTAACCAATTGAATTGCAATGATTCCTGTTGAACGTATGGCTGAGAAAACATTCAGAGGCACTTTCTTGATGTAACCATTGACAGTGAGCATAAGTAGAAACTGATCTTCAGAAAACTCACTCACAGGAATGATGGAAGTTACTCTTTCACCTTCAGATAAAGATAAGATCTGTCTCTCACAATGAATGATATGTTGGAAACTTTCAAGACAGAAACTGAGTTAACAAATATAAATAAATAAAAGAATAATCAATACCTGGACCAGTGGTGTGCCTGCAGCAGTCCTGGTGCATTCTGGAATTTTAAAAGCACGAGCTGAGTACACAATTCCCCGATCACTGTGGAAATAAGTTGGCAAGTTATACTACAACCTTGATGAGAATTTATAATTGAAACAATGAATTGCAATGTTTGATATGAATATGCATCAAATAATGCAAAGCATATATGAATGCATATCTCCATATTCAATGTATCTTGCATCGTGTTAGTTAATTAGTTGGGTACTGTTATGTTACACAAAACTCATGTCCTAACATATATATGTCCATCATGCTTCTGAATTCTACAAAAATATTATCTCTGTCTGTGACAATTGTGTAGAGAACTTTCCGTTAATATAAAAAAAGGGGCATAAAAGATTTTGTATATAAAAAAAGGAAACCATGAACGAATATGTTGTTAGTATAATGTTAGTATACTATTATAATTAATTGACTATACTGTTGTAAGATAGCTGTAAATAACCATCAATTAGGAGATAAATTAGGCATCAATTTAATGTTTAGTATATACTATTATAATTAATTGACTAATACTGTTGTAAGATAGCTGTAAAATAACCATCAAATTAGGAGATAAAAATTAGGCAATCAATTAGGGAGCTAATTCAGCTGTAAATGTTCAACCATATTAGGAGACAATTGGGCAATCAATTAGGAGAGAAATAACCATCAATTAGGGAGCTAATTAAGGTTGTAATTGTTAGCCATAATTAGGAGTCAATGGGCATCAATTAGGGATGTAATTTAGGAATTTATTCCTAAATTTGTGAGATACTTCAATCTATTTAAACCCAATCAGCTTGAGGGAATGGAGTCAGATTTCTATTGAAAATTCTATTGAAATCCAGCAAGTTTGTCATGGTATCAGAGCCATGGTTATGCAATTTTAGAGCTCTTCTTTTATGAGTTTCAGCTTTGTTTTTTTTAAGAACAAAGTACAGGTTCTGCTGCCTCTGATTCTGCAGCTTCTGTTTCTGCTTTCCTTGTTTAGTTCATATCTTTGAACTCTCAGTTTAGTTCATATCTTTGATGAACTCTTGGTCATAGAAATTCTAAATTTCTATTTGGAGGTTCTCTTCATTTGGAAGAGATTCTGGTGGACATTTTTCCATCTTGCAACTTTCTGGCTGTAGGATTTTCATCTTGGTGGGTTTGCTGATTCTTCTGGTTGACCTGCTCCTGGTTTTGTTATTACTAATTTTTCATTTTTGGTCTCCTTGTGCTATTTGAGATGGCCACTTTAAACGTAGTTGAGAGTTTTCATATTCGTTTCATCGGAAAAAATTATTCTTCATGGGAATTTCAGTTCCAGCTCTTTATTATAGGAAAAGAATTGTTGGGCCATATCAATGGAAATGATCCAGCTTCTAAAGATGCTAAGGAGTTGCTTCACTGGAAAGTTGAAGATGCAAGAGTAATGACATGGATTCTAGGGTCAGTCGACCCTCTTATTGCTCCTAATCTGAGGTCTTTTAAAACTGCAAAAGGCATGTGGGATTACTTAAACAAGGTCTACAATCAAGAAGTAAGTCAAGGACATACTTCCTTTGAGATAAGAAGATGCCTCTCTTACACCTAGATACTTCTATACCCAAAAAATACTTCAACAATCCTAAGTCTTTTTTCTGGAACTGAGTCTGGAGGAATGACTTGAGTGATGTAATGCCTGCAGAATCACTCCCTATAATAACAATGCAGAATCACTCCTTGTAATAACAATGTCATCAACATAAACCACAAGTAGAATCAAACCAGTGTTAGTACTTCTGAAAAATACAAAATGATCAGAAATACTCTTCTGCATGCCAAATTGACATTACAAAATCTACCAAACCAAGCTCGCTCTCTCCAACAAGAAACTACTGTCAAGGTTGCTTTTGCTGCCCAAGGAAGAGTAAAGGGTCGGGATATGAGTAGAATTCAGTGTTATAGCTGCAAAAATTATGGGCATATTACTGCCAATTGTGGATAGAAGTTTTGTAATTATTGCAAACAGTCAGGACATGTCATAAAGGAGTGTCCGACACGGCCTCAAAATCGAAAAGTGAATGCTGCTCCAACAATTTCTATAACTCCCTCTTCAGTTGCTGAACCTGTGGTTCTTACTCCAGAAATGGTGCAACAAATGATTATTTTAGCCTTCTCCGCCTTAGGACTACAAGATAAAAATACCTCCCTCTCTCAACTTTGGCTTGTCGATTCTTCTGCCTCAAATCATATGAAAAACACATCTCTACAGAGGTAACGAATACTCCTCTCCTCTCCCTCTCAACTTTGGCTTGTTGATTCTGCTGCCTCAAATCATATGACAAACACAATCTAACATGCTTACGAATGTTCGCAAAAATATTCATGGTTCAAAGCTGAAATAATTCAGATTGGCAAATGTAGTACAATACCTATTACTGAGATTGGAGATCTTAGACCATGTTGCAACATATGTTTTTATATCTCCAAAGCTCTCAGACTAAGCTTCTTTTCGGTTGGTCAGTTAGTAAGATTAACTGGTCAGTTAGTAGATAACAATTATGATGTCCATTTCTCTCGTAATGGTTGTCTTGTGCAGGATCAGGCATCGGGGACAGTAATCGCGAAGGGGCCTAAAGTTGGGAGACTATTTCCATTACTATTTTCCATTCCTCATATATCTTCATTTTGTACTACAATTATTAGTCAGAGTGAACTATGGCATAGACGTTTAGGTCATCCTAATCCTGTATTTTGTCTCATTTATCAAATTCTGGTTTATTGGGCAATAAAGAATTCCTTGCTAAGGTTCCTTTTGATTTTTCCACATGTAGACTCGGTAAAAGCAAAACTCTTCCTTTTCCTTCTAATGGTAGTCGTGCTGTCCATTGTTTTAATAGAATTCATAGTGATGTCTGGGGCATTACGCTCGTTATTTCTCATGCTCAATACAAGTACTTCGTGATATTTATTGATGATTACAGTAGATATACATGGGTATACTTCCTTCATTCTAAATCTGATGTATATTCTGTTTTCAAGACCTTTTTAGCCTATGCTGAGACTCAGTTTTCTACTTGTATTAAAGTATTACGATCTGATTCTGGAGGAGAATATGTCCATGAATTTTCAGAATTTTTCTTCGTGAGAAAGGAATTGTCTCACAAACGTTCATGTCCTTATTACACCACAACAAAAATGAGTTGCTGAGCGTAAAAATCGTCACTTTGGGATGTAACTCGAACGTTAAATTGGATCTTCAGTTCCATCTAAGTTTTGGGTTGAAGCCTTATCTACTGCAACTTATCTAATTTATAGAATGCCTTCTCAGGTATTTAAGCTTGACTCCCCATATTTTCGTTGTATCATCAATATCCTAATTATCATGATTACACACATTGGTTTGTTTGTTTGTTCATCTACCCTTCTCAATGAACGTCATAAACTTTTCAGCTTCAATTCTTTAAATGTCATTTATGGGTTATAATTTCTTCTCAAAAGGGTTTTGTTTGCTATGATTCCACTTCTAACAAATTTCGTGTTTCTCGAAATGTTATTTTCTTTCAGCATCAATATTTCTTTCCCAATCTTGCCAAGTCTTCTTCTACTTCTCCCATTCTTCCAATTTTTGAGGATTTACCAATTGTTCCTAATCGATTTAAGCCTGGATTTGTGTATGGAAGACGTCAACCAACGGTGCCTCTTCCCGAGACTGATCCCTCATCTATGTCTGATTCTCCTGCATCTACTCTGCGTCGCTCTACCAGAGTATCTCGACCTCCACGACGGTATGATTTTTCTGATAATCCTGCTGGATATTCTGCCACTTTATCTGATATTTCTATTCCATCTTGTTACTCACACGCCTCCAAGAATGAATGTTGGCAAAAAGCCAAAGCCATGCAGGACGAACTTCAAGCTCTTCACGACAATCATACATTGGGAAAAATTCTCCTTGCCCTCCAAATGTTAAGCCCCATTGGATGTAAAGGGTTTTATTCAGTCAAGCTTACGTTCTGATGGGAACCTATGGATCGATATAAATCTCGGATTGGTTGCCCTTGGCCAATAAGCAAAAGTAACGGAGTGACTATGAGGAGACCTTTGCTCCAGTTGGCAAAGTGACTACCGTCCGTACTATTATTGCAGTCGCTGCTCTCAAGCGTTGGCCTCATTCATTCAAATGGATGTCAAAAATGCTTTTCTTCATGTATCTTAAGAAGATATTTATATGACACTTTCCATTGGCGTTTGCCCTTCCTCATCTTCAACACCATGTTGTTGTAAGTTAAAAAGGTCTCTGTATGGACTAAAACAAAGCTCCACGTCCTGGTTTGACAAGTTTCGGTCTTACCTTACTTTCAGTTTTTCATTTGTGCAAAGTAAATATGACTCCTCTTTGTTCTTCACAAGAGTTCTGCGGTTTGTTCTACTCCTTGTTTTATGTACGAATGACATTATTATCACTGGCACTAACACATCAACAGATCCTCACTCTTCAAACAATTCTCTTTCAAATTTCTTTAATATGAAGGTTCTTTGGTCCACTTACATATTCTTAGGGCTGGGAAGTTCACTGTGTTGTTCTGGAATATTTTTGCATCCTGGGATATTTTTGCATCAACACAAATATACTACAGATTTGATTACTTTAGCAGGCCTTCAGGATTCATCTCCAGTTGATACCCCTTTGGAATTAAACATCAAGTATCATAGTCAAAACAAAGATCTTCTTCCTGATCCATCTCTTTATCAGCAATTAGTTGGCAGTTTGAATTATCTGACTGTTACACAGCCCGATATTTCTTTTGCAGTTCAGCAAGTCAGTCAATTCATGAGTACTCCGCGTCACTTACATCTGGTGGCAGTTCGTCGAATCATTCGCTATCTTCTTGGTACATCTTCTCAGGGTTTATTCTTTCCTACTGGCTCTCCCGTATGCCTTGTTGCTTACAGTGATGCTGATTGGGTCGGTTGTCCAGACACTTGACGCTCTATAACTGGTTAGTGTATGTTTCTTGGCGATTCTTTGATATCTTGGAAAAGTAAGAAACAATACCGTATTTCAAAATCTTCTACTGAATCTAAATATCGGGCTATGTCCGCTGCTTGCTCAGAGATTGTTTGGTTACGTGGGTTACTTGCTGAAATTGGATTTCCTCAGCCTCGTTCTACTCCTCTGCATGCTGACAACACTAGTGCCATACAAATTGCTACAAATCCTGTTTTTCATGAACGTACCAAACATATCGAAGTCGACTGTCATTCTATTCGAAAGGCCGTAGATACAGGTGTCATTTCTCTTTCACATGTCTCCACAGCTCTTCAAATTGCTAATGTCTTCACAAAATCTATGACAAGACAGCGTCATCAATTTCTCGTTGGCAAATTGATGCTTCTTGATCGCCCAGCATCAATTTGAGGGGGGGATGTTAGTATACTATTGTAATTAATTGACTATACTGTTGTAAGATAGCTGTTACTGTTGTAAGATAGCTGTAAATAAACCATCAATTAGGAGATAAAATTAGGCATTCAATTAGGGAGCTAATTCAGGCTGTAAATGTCAACCATATTAGGAGACAATGGGCATCAATTAGGAGAGATATTTAGCATCCAATTAGAGAGCCAATTAAGATATCAAGGCTTGTAATTGCCAGCCATAATAGCCATAATTAGAAGACAATGGGCATCAATTAGGGCTGTAATTTAGTAATTTATTCCCAAATTTGTGGATACTTCAGTCTATTTAAACCCAATCAGCTTGTGGGAATTGACAAGCAAATTTTCTATCAAAATTCCATTGAAATACAGCAAGTTTGTCACCGGAGAGTACCCATTCTTATCTAGAATCTCTAATCTATCTAAATCGCAAGGGAGAACATTTGAATATACCAAAAAAGTACATGGTTAATACTTTCTTATTTCCCAAAAAAAAAAAAAAACAAAGGACTAATGCTTTTTATATATATTATATAACAAACTAATCCAACTTTCATCTCATTACCTACAAAAACTAACCTATTCATGCTTTACACTTTTTTTTCTAACTATGTATGTTAACTAAATATGAATGTATTATATTCTACTTTTAAGTGCCTCAGCTTGTTTTTAAGTTTACAATGGTGGGGCGGTTCATGTTTGGTTTTTAGCAGGGTTCAAGTTTATTCAACTTGAAAGGATTAATGTCTCAGAATGGTATCTTAAGGAATAGTAGGTATCAAACGAGAGACCCTGCCCCTGGAGCTTCGCTCAAGTGAGGTGGTGTTCTCAATGGATATTCCATTGTGTAAAATCCTTTTTTTATTTTTTTTTTTATTTTTTTTTTATTTTTGGGATTGAACTAGAACAATCAACCACATGGTCTTGGAATCCTTTTTTAATTTGAACTTAATCAGATCAGTCAACCCCAATAATGGTATTCAATTAACTAACTTTTCATCATTGTCTATATTAAGTTAGTATATTGATGCCAGGTACAACTTTGACTGCGCTTTTTTTTTTTTTTTTTTTTTTTTTTAGATTAAAGGTATTGGGCTTCATACGCTTCACATAACCCTTTTCACTAAGTGCCTGAAAATTAAATGAGAATCTTCTTAAAAGAAAAAAGAGAAAAAAAAGCTTGTTCCCAATAATCCACCAAAAACAATATATATAAACACTTCATCGGAAATGCTGATACTTTCAACATTCAATGTGATGCAAACAGAATAACTATGAAAACAAAGAAACAGACAACCTTCCAATGTCACATACCAGAAGCATTTCTTCATTTGGAATAACATCTATATCTTCAAGTTGACCACCGTCAGAGTCCTCCAACAACGAACGCCTTGGACTGGAAAACTTATTCTTGAGCTCTACAGATTCTTGTTCAATTAACTAAAATATGAAAACAAGGGAGCTCAGTTACAATGATATGAAATGAGTTCAAAAATCATATCTAGAATCACAGCTCCTCTCTCTCATAACCTAACTCGATAAACTATATCCCAAGATGAGGATGGAGATGATGAAAAACAAAAAGAACATCTGCAAACATTATCACTCTCCAATCTTTACAATGACACTAGGGACGGGTGGAGGTTGTGAAGTCATTTGATCTAGAAATTGTTGCTCAGACTGGCATATGGGCATTGGTCGAGTGTCATACTTGTGTAATGTCTGAATTCTAGAATACAAGGATTGAGAGGAAAGGGATCCAAATATTGCACACAGGTGCTCAAGTATATTATCTATCCACAAACTTTCAGAATTATACACCCATATACGTGCAATACAAGTCTCATGAGTAACTGATGCAGTAACTAAATTACTAATCATTTTTTATATCAGTTATTGAAACAATCTGCCCTCGGAGTTTGCAATTCTAGGAACCAGATCTATGTTATAGCCAATGTCCCCTTGATATCATCACGCCTCAAGATTAATTTATCAGGTCAAGGGACACATGGGCCTGATTCTAATCCTTTCAAGAAATGAATTCATTAGTTGGAAATAATGGTTGAGATTTAGTTTTGTAATCGTGAGGATAGACACAGAGAAGAAGCATGAAGAAGGAGAAGGGAAACAAAGTTTTCTCTTTCAGCTAACACTGTAGTCTTCTCTTTATCTTCTCCACTCAAACCAAAATCAACTTCAAGAAGTTACTAACTAGCTACTAATTCCTTGGCCTTCTTTTGATACCTTTAAATGATTTATTCGTCTTTGAGATGTTGTCACAAAAGGAAGGCCACCTAATCTTATTGTGGAACATATTTGTGGAAGAGGCACTGCAATAAGTTTGATTTTTTGTCGATATCGAGCAGGAAAATGGCAAACAATAATTACTTTCTATTGGAAATATGCACCGGCTGAATCAGAGATAAATAATGTTGCAGGTTGTCAATTGAATAGTAAGCTTTAAATTATTTACCCAGTAATCTTCTCTTATTCTTTTTTCATTAAGTGTCACTTACTATATTAGCTAACTAATACACATAATAGGAGCTGCCTTTTTTTATTCAATTCCTTGATATGCATTTGGCCACATCTCTGATACAAAGTGTCTCACTCTTTAACGAATCTGCATAAATACATTATGTCTTTCTCACAAATTCTTCCTTTCTCAAAGATTATTTAAATATACTCGATAAATGAAGGATTTGAAGTAGCACAATTCGTCAATTCGAATCTATATCCCCCAGCAAATAAAAATATTACTGCGCAAACAGATGATAGTGCATATCAGAAGTACCAGGCCAGATGAAGTCTAAAATTTGCACCTTATGCAAAAAAAACCTGAATAACTGACAACACAAGCAGCATTTACCAAGTATGTTACCTGTAATATGTTTTGCCTGCTTGACAACAGTTCCTCTAGCCTGGAGATTTGTTCTGACAACAATTTACTTTCATCTACAAACTTCTTTCTCTGCACAATAGGGAAATCACTTCCATTAAATGCCATTTGCAAATTTTAAGATTGCAATCTATATAAAATACAAAATCCTTTTCCAAAAATAGAAAAGCAAGAAAAGCAAGATACTAATCACCTCAAGTAGAGTAAGTCTTCTGAGGCTTATGTCCAATATGGCTTCAGCTTGCTTCTCAGAAAGATTTAATTCTACATTGAAGAATATGAAAATAATAGCAAAATCAATTGATAGAAAATTTCAACAAAAAAATGACATAAAAGCTAATTTAAAGAGTAAGACTACAATCAAACAAACCAATCATTGATCCAGTTACTGATTGGACTGTTCAGGCTAGCATGTCTGGTATGATTCTCTAAATACTCAAGAAGAACGGAAACCAAAACGCTTTCTTTCAGCTTAAGTCAATTTTGATACTTAGAGAAGCAAAATACATAGAAACTTGCACTTCAAATGTGAACATACTGATAAAAATGCTTTAAAATTTAAGACACTTGTCACCTTTCTCAGTTCATTAATTTTCAAAATACCATTCTACCAAGATTTCTCCTAATCATTCTAAATGCAGTCAAGTATCTGACAGTCCTCACTATTTTGCAATAAAAAGACCTAACGCCACATGCATAAGGTGCATCAAAACAAAAATTAATTTACAGAGACCGTAATAACTTTTTCTGTTTATTCAAATCAGAAACTTCCGACAAAAAGATGGCTCTGAGCTAAGCTAAGAAAAACAGAAACTAAAAACAATATAAAATATATAGAAATATTTCTTCGAGGCAAAAGAAATAAACTTCATCTTTCTGTGCGCATATATAATAAATTACAATAAATGGATATACTAAGCAAGGAAACCTGGCATAAGATGTATAAAATGTGAAAGAACCTTACCATTCCTCAAACCAGAAGATGCAGCTGCATTGCTTGTAGCCTGCTTAATTATACGAATCACTTCATCCAAATTATCAAGTCCCACCACAATACCCTGAAGGATCATACAACAACCATAGATGAGTTGATACAGCACTTTATTGAGTGCCTAGAAACCTTATGAAAAACATGTAAAAATCATTACAACAGGAACAATGAGGGGAAAAAAAGAAAAAAAGGAACACTTGAGCCCAAATTGCAGGGGTTTGAAAATATACACCAACTAAAGATGTGAGCCAAAGTACTCGCACAAACCCCAACCCTTTGCAGAGCAGGTGTTAAAATCTGCTTATTTATTGTTATAAGCGTACTATATCATGGCAATGGCAACCAAAATTCTCACATTTCCTTTCATTTACTAAAATCTCAGTACCATTGGCAGCAAGAAGGTAGGGGAGGACTGAAATTTTTAAGTGGGATGCACAAACACCCAATACTTTGTGACCAAGCAAATTAACAGTTACCTTAACATACCTCAACAATATGTCTTCTCTCTTGAGCCTGGGAAAGCTTAAACCTGGCACGTCTCTCAACAACAGAGCATCTAAAATCTAAGAATGCCTAGCAAAAGAAAAAGACAGAGAAGCTGTTTACTTCTATGTGGCAATGTGTGAAAACAGAGAAAAGAAACAGTAAAAAACTAAAAATGCTGAGATATACTGGTTAAGAACAAGAAATTGATTACTGCAATTCAAAATAAACCATGTGTAAGTAGCCACCTGAAGCAGATCTTTCAGACCCATTAGTTTGGGTTGTCCATCAAGAATGCTGCAGTACAGAACAGTCATAATGAGTTATTTCGCAAGATGAAGTCAGCAACTAATTAAATAAGGTTTTACGTACACATGCAAATATTGCAAAAAAGTGTTAGCATAGATATTGCTACAATAATTCATCCATAAGATATGAGTAACACAGGTAAGCCTTTATATATACATACTTAATGGGTGTTGGGATAACAGCACAAGCAACAACTAATGCACCCATTGAATCTTTATAAAACAATTTGAATAGCACTGAGCTTGGTAATAAACTTTTCCTTTGTCGCTTCTTCTTTTTTTTTTTTTTTTTTTTTTCTAATGCACCCATTGAATCTTTATAAAACAAAATTTGAAATAGCACTGAGCTTGGTAATAACTTTTCCTTTTGTTCGCTTTCTTCTTTTTTTTTTTTTTTTTTTTTTTCAAAGGGAAATACTTTGAGAATTCAAGACATGACTTGTGAAAAAATATGTTTTTTTTTTTTTTTTTTTTTTCACAAAGGAAATACTTTGAGATTCAGACATGACTTGTGAAAAATATGAACCAGCAACTATAGATATGGGCTGTTTCAGTATAACTTCATAGCAAAAAATTAAAAGGGTGACGTACTGAAATTATGAACACATTGCCCAACAAATTTTATAAGCATTAGCAATTTGTACTTTTTTGTCTGCATATGATTATAACCACACTTAGATTGTACATACATAGCTGCACCCGACAGTTACCCAGGCTCTGATACCATGAAAAATATCAAATGATAGGAATAGAATAAGAAATTCTTCCTGATGGCGTAGTTTGTTACGTCAGCTCCAAAAGGATAAGTTTTAAGAAGAATGCAGTAGATGACAGCCAGCTTAAAATTCCACCTTATCATATTGATGCAATAACCTATATAGCTAGATACAGCTAAGAATTTGTATTCAAAATGTATTGAGTGGTATAGCATAACTTGTACCCAAAAAAAAAAAAAAAGGAAAAGTTCAGAAGAATACCTACCACTCTAGATTTAGTACTTGGCATCTAAGGGGAAACAATTTTTGTATTAAACAAGTATCATGTGCATGATTCATTCAATATGCCTTTCATGTAAATTGAAATAAACTTGAACCTTATAGGCATGCAAATACAACATGAATTTTTCAGTTAAAAGAGATTTATGGAATCTGACTTGGCTAGAAATTTACAAACATACACACATATAGAGATAGATTCTTCTGTTAAAGGAGATTCAAGGAACCTGACTTGGCTGGGAAAAAAAATGAATGCAACTAGAAATTTAATTTAAGGAATAGGTTGAATTATATATAGAGGGAAAAGGTGAAAAGAAAAGTATAGAACCCTAAATCAAAATTAAAAAACAAAAAAACTAGATGGTTTCTGATGATCATTTAAAAGCTTGGATCCTGGCTCCTATATTTACAATCATATTGAATAATATGATAGCCGCTCTAATAGGAATAAGCAGCCCATTACCACTACCAAGCCTTTCAAAGTTTATTCAAGAAGGCCCAAGTTTGTGAAAGCAGGATGTTTATGCACAGAGATTCAAGCAATGAGAGAGCTCCAGGTGGCATTGTTAGTTACAACAATGGTGACACCAGTGCTATATAACATCATGAGGATTTTGTTGTGCGACGTCTTTTGGGAATATTTCCGTTTTTGGCAGATTGTGATACCTGTAAAGAAACTTCAGTTTCTGGACTTGATTCTTGCTAATCAAGTTTATTTCTTCTTTCTTGTTATCTCCTTGATTTGATTTTGTACTCCAGATATATTACTGGCCTATTTTTCATCCTTGAGTTATCAATCAAAAGAAATCCATTCAAGTTCTTATTCTATTTGTTTCTTCTGTTATTTTTTCTGAAATCTCTGTTTGGAAATTCTGTTCTCGTTCCTTGCTCTATCACTATTCCCATGTCAAATGGTGGTGCCATCACCTTCCTTCAGATTCCCCTTATTTTTCTCTATCACTTGCATAAGCCACATTCCTACACATGAGCAAAATCACCCTTTCTCCTCCATTAATGTTCATCTCTAGCTTCTATCAATTTACCTTCTTCTGAATTCCTCATCTAAAATCACCCAAAAATAAATAGCAAAAATCTCGGACCATTCAAAACCCATGTTCTTTTAAATTCAATCTGGGTTTGGAAGGTTTCCATCTCTCAAGATTGATTTATATCCTGGATTTCACAAGTTAAGTCCATTAGTATTGAGCTTGTCAAGTCAAACCGTTTAGATGTAGAGAAACAGAGCTATATTCAAAACAGAGCTTCCATTATCCAGGGAAGAGCAAGTGAGATACTGACTTCAATTTTCAGTTGTTTGAACCAAAAAAGGAATGCATTTTTTTACGTCTGTCCCATGTTGCAGATTTTGCCAGAAGAATTAATTATTTTAGACCCTAACCATATGAATGTGAGCTTTGCATCAACAAAACAAAGCTCAGGATACTCCACTGAAAAAATTAACAGAACCCTTATGACATGGCAAGGTCTTGACTCTCAAAACTGTAGAGTCAAATTCAAAGTTGATACAGAAATTTTGCTTTAAAATAGGAAGATATTTCAAGCTCATTTAGTTATCAATTATTCAAGCAGGTTCTCTTCACTACCGGTTTCTGTTTTCTATTGCCTAACTAACAAAATATTTTTCTTTTTATACACTTCTACAAAATAGTTAGTTATTTGCATTTCACAACTCATGTTCCTACAACTGTAAAGTTAACACCTTGTTATAATCCAGATTCTTACAATGAAAATTAAAACAAATTTCACATTTCTCAATCCACAAGTTCAAACTTAAAGATCAAATAAAGATTAAGAAAAACATAATTAACAGAATGTTTGGAAGTTGTAGATGGTTTAGAAAGGAAAGGACATCTTTAATCCACGGAAAAGGAAAAGAAAAGAAATGAGAGAATTGAAAATTAATTAATTATTTTATGCTTGGATGTTTGAAGGATAAGAAATTATTCAGATATTAAGGAATAGTCTTATTACAAAAGTATTAATAGTTCTATAAGGAAATGGTATCTCTTATTCCCTCAATATTGAAACAAAACTAAAGTGAGGGTTCAATTAGATAACCAATCCCCTAGTATCATTGATTTTCCAAATTAATTAAACTCCCAAACAATGGATAACTCTTATCCTACCCCTTCTCCTTTTCTTTTCTTTTCCTATTACCTCTACCCTTTTCATTTCTTTCCTAATCCTTCTCCCAAACTAAGCCTAAGTAATATATGAAGAAAACATGATTGAAGGCTACATTAAGTCTACACCTTGAACATTTTTGAATCACAAGGAAAAATAATTCTAGTCCACCTTATGATAAGAGGAACTGGATTTTATTGTTTAATAGACCATCTTCTCTACGTATATATAAGATAGCCAATTAATAATTAAAAATCCTAGTTTTACATGGACAAGTTTAATAAATAGGGAACTTAAAATTACTAGAAATAGTTGAAATACAAGAAACTAAAACATAAATTATTAAAAATTATAATGACAAGTATAGTTGCAATAAAATAAGAGGGGCAGCTGGCAAGGGAGAGAATGAAAAAGATGCAGTAAATAGAATATAAAAAAAAAAAAAAAAAAAAAAAAAAAAAAAAAAAAAAGGGGCAGCTGGCAAGGAGGCAGAAGAAATGAAAAAGAAATGCAGTAAATAGAATATAAAAAAAAAAAAAAAAAAAAAAAAAAAATTATTAGCATAAAACTCCAAAGAAATCAACAGCTTCAACTCAACAGAGCATGCAGTATCGCAGAATTCTAACTAAGATTCTATAATCAGGGCTTAATAAGAAATGAAAATACTTACCACCACCATATTGCAGGCTAAAGCTAGATTGAAGAGGATGTAAAGACCGATAGAAGATAAAAAAAAAAAAAAAAAAAAAAAAAAAAAAAAAAAAATTATTAGCTAAAACTCCAAAGAAATCAACAGCTTCAACTCAACAGACATGCAGTATCCAGAATTCTACTAAGATTCTATAATCAGGTTAATAAGATGAAAATACTTACCCCACCATATTGCAGCTAAAGCTAGATTGAAGAGGAGTAAGACGATAAAGATTATTTAACACAACCGATGGATCTGCTCCACGTTTCAGCTGTAACACAAGATAGAATCCATCGGTCAAAATAAAATACCAATGTAATATTAAGGGTAAAGGATTTGCTTTATAGCACAGTACGTTGTATAAATTTAAATACCTCAACCACAATACGCATTCCAGAACGATCACTTTCATCACGAATGTCACTGATGCCATCTAAATTCTGTCAGATAATGATTAAAGAAAATTATTCTTTTTAGTGATTTATGAATAAGATTAGCTTTTTTAATTTAAATGATATTGGATGCCTTGTGACTAAGGCTGCATTAGGATGCATATTTATGAGATTCAAATAATAATTTGCAAATTCATTTAACAGGAAGTATAAAGCTAAACGCAAAAATTTGGGGGAAAAGCTCAGTAATCCATTGAGTAGTCAATTGATGAACACAGCACTCCACCAAGGACTAAGCTTGACAGAGAAATTTATTGATCACAAAACCTGCATTTGATTGCACAGACCATTAAATGATAGTTTCTAACAATTGAAGGAGAGAGAGAAGGCCTAACATAATTTCAAGAGCACATGAACAATTAGTTAAAATATTCTCATGTGCAGAGACATTAGACTATTTCCTATAACATGTTTTTTCTCACTTTGACACAGAGCAAAACAATGGCTTGGGCAGTGAAAGAATATCAGTTACACCAACTGACATGCATAATACACTACCGTAACTCAAAACAGAAACAGTCAGAGATGATCAACTACACAAACTGAAACTACATTAGTTATGATGAACATATTTTCGCTTATTTCTATGGATGGCATTACTCTTATGCTATGATTCGAGGCAAGAATTCAAAATGAGTGATTTAGACAAGATTTAGTTTAAATGATGATTAAATTCATGAATGCAGTTGAAAACTTATTTAAGATGGATTTTAAATTTCATCAAATGAACTTTTATCCACATTCATATACCTAATATATATTCTAGCCAGCCAAAGGAAGTCATGTATTTCAAATCCAATTCCCTTGATTTCAAATCCCTCACTCCAAATTCAAGATGATAATCAAGCCTAACAAAAATACTTAGTTTCATTTTATTTCTTCTTTCTTTTCCTGTCAATTCTCCCTCTCCCCTTTCTCACTAGTCAAACAAGCATGGAATACTAGTTTGTGAAATGCAAGTGACCAACCGTCCATATCCCTCAAGTAGAAGAAGATCAGCTTGTAATCAAGCATATATCAAGTCACAGAGCCCAGAAACCATTGTTCAAAAAAAGCAGAATAAGATATTCATTAACCACCTTCCATCAATATCAGGATACAACTTGCCAGACTGCTGTAAATGAACACATAGATATTGGCTATTTTCAAACAATATGAAAGTACCTTGTTCTCTACAAGTTCAGCAATCTTTTCCACAAGAGAAGCCTTGTTGGTTTGATAAGGAATCTGTTCAGTTAGAAAGATGTTACTTCCTTCTGCAACAACTTGAAGATGAATATGCAAAACATAGTAAGGCCAAGAATAAACCCGAATGATCACCTCTTTTACGATAACTGCAATTCGCTTGGTTTTAGAGTCAAGCAATTCAACATCTGTTTTTCCTCTGACTATGATGCGGCCTCGCCCAGTTCGATATGCCTCTAAAATCCTGGACATAAAAGACAGAAGTTCATCCATCTAACTGGAACATTGCAGTTAAACTCTCATAATGTGATCAGTGTCTCAACCAAAATAATCTTTCACATGGAAACAAATCAGATCCTTGCATAGTTTCCAGCAACCCCATTTTCAAAGGGAGAGAATCCAAGAAATGCATTCTTGAAACAAAATGCCTCCTGATTTAGGGGCCATAATCTGGTATTCTGCTTTTAGCAAGTCATACCATAAATAGCCAAAGGCTCTGGATGTTAAAGTGCTGGCAACAACAGCTGCAGCGACGATTTTAAATACATTCTCATGGACGTGTGTGATCCTCCTAGCAATCATCTGTGTTATAGTTTGAATTCAAGTGAAATAAATTTGTTCAGTTGCACAATATATTGCCTGCTTATTTATTATTTGACCCATACACTCATACTTCTATTACAACAAAACCATGCTCGTTATATAAAACCCAACAGAGAACACCATTACGTAACATTGTATGGAAGACATTTTCTACTTAGCCTTTGAAATTAAAATGCAACAAGGATGAAGTATGGCAGCACTCATGGATTTATGATCAAACCCTTCCAATTTCATGCTTGATTGGTGCAGAATAAAGATGTAATTGAAAAGTTAACTTACCCAAGGTTTCCCATTATTAGTCCTCCAGTTGGAAAATCAGGTCCAGGCATGTATTCCATCAACTCCTGCAACTGTAACAATAAAATTATATTATGAGACAACAACATACACACTTGAAAACTAATTTACAGGAAATACATATAAGAATATATGAGGTTCTTTATTACATGAGAAGACTAATAGGCAAACAGTAAGTACGTTTTCGTGCACAATGGGTGCATCTGCATGGGTATAAAACTAGAATGAGATGCTTTGGAGAAATGAGTTCTTTCATGCAAAAATGAATAAGCTGACACACAAAAATATGAAAATGGAGATAAGGATATGAATCACAAGGACAGATATTGAACATCAGTCGAAACCAAGTGAGTTTGACATTAATCTAAATTCCAATTCTTCAAAGAGAAATGCAAACTTTTGAAGTTAATAACTTCTCATTTCAATGATACTGATAAGCCAAACACTCTCATCTCAGCTAAGCCCTAATACCAAGCTCTTTTGAATTTGATTATGTAGATCCTTTCTGTAGCAATAAAGATGGAGTTGAAGAAAACATTGGTTTTAAAATTATTTGGAAGATAAAATGTATAAACCATGCATTTGTTTTAATCCAAATATAATTAAAATAAGACTAACCACAATTGCTAGAGAGACGGCCACTTGAAGTATAAATTTTTTTCACAATATCTTGGCATCTAATAAGAACTTTTTCACAAAGCTACCTAAAAGTAGTTCTCACATTACACGTGAATTTCCTTTTGGGAACCAATCATTCCTTAACATTAATGAAGAGAAGAATATTTAATATGAAGAAGAATTGGTAATGATCAGCAAATTCTAACCTAACCAAAACTTAATGACCATAGCAAATTTTTATTCCTGATCAGTCATTGAGATTAACCAATTAAAAGAAAGCTCGTAGGCATTATCTTCACCCTCCTGCTATTCAAAGACTTGTTTATTAATAGACTCAAACCCAATCCAAGGACATATTTAACAACCTTGAAGTGTCTTTATCTACTTAATTTTATATATATATATATATATATCACTAACCCAGCCTTAGACATAAATAAATGAATGCAGGGCCTTCCAAATCTAGAATCTATAATCCATCTATCTACAATATATATGAATGTACAGCTATTCTCTTCTCAAGCAATTTACTTGACTATCATTTGCAAATTCTTCGCCTATTAATTGTATCCATCTTATTGTTTCTTATAAATCACATGTCAATTTCATTCGTCATTTTTTTGTTGGATCATTCAAGATATTTTTATTTCTTCTTTTCTTTTTTCTTTTTTTACTTTAACTCTTCTTCAACTCTCTCGTTCAATTTAGAATTTATATTACATATTCTCTAATTATTAAATAACACTTTTATTTTTCCCAATGAAAAAATATTCTGAGGCAGTATTTTTTTTTTTTTTTTTTAGGATAGCCAATAAAAATGAAGACAAAATTAATATATATGTGTATCCACAAGTATCCTTATTAGCCTCCATCACGAAGGGTCTAAATGATGTAACTAATTCTGAAATCTGCATATAAAATATGACATAACTTGAATTCATAAATCATATTGTTATCTTATTAATTTGAAAAATCTTTATACAATGTGTACATAATTAATATTGCATTTAGCATCAATATAGATATGGTGTACAATTATTAACAATTTGATAAAAAAACAAAATTTCACAGATTCACATGTTAGTGTCAATCCTAATAAATTAAGGGCTCATTTGGTGTTATTATTATCACAAGTAATATATTTTAGGCCAAAATTAGAGTAATTTTGTTGGCCAAATGGATTTAGCTATCTGCAAGAGAGTTTCTCATGGCTCAAAACAGATTTCGGAAAAAGCTTAGATTTGGAATTTTTGCCAAAATCAGTTCTAGATTTATGAAAACTCTATTACAAGTAACCAAATTCATGGGCCGAGAAGATTACTCTTTATTTTGACCAAAAATCTATTACTTACAATACTAACATCAAAACAACCTTAAAAGAAGTTGGAATTGTGAACATATGTTCCAATAGCACTTGGTTACACATCATCATAATATTTTATTCATCATTACTTTGATGTTCTCCATGCAGATTTTATTCATCAGTATTATTTGTCCATTTAGTTTACAATTATGTCATATTTGATTATGAAGTTGTATTCATTTAACTTAATTCAATTGAATAGATAAATGAGTGAATGAAAATGGATGCAACAAAAGGTGAATAGATATTTTTGTTTTGCAGGCAGCTGATGATTTAATTTATTTTAATTTCAATAGCTTTGATGTGTCTTTGTATATTTTTAAAAGGTTTATAATTTAATCATATTATTGCTTTCTTAGATTTTATATATTTAGGTTTTTCTTGTAATCTTTCCGATGGGGTTTATTTTTTTTTTTAATTTCCTTACATTTATTTCTGGTTATTTTATTTTATATGAAAATTGTAATGCACACATAATATATAAACTATCATAAAATTTGATGGCTCCATTGATAAACCTTTTTAATAATTAAATATATTTAAAACTCCACAATAAACTTGCTTCCTAATTTTAGCTATATTCATAATATATTTTGCTTCCAAACTAATAAAAATTGCTTTATAATTACTATATTTTTAATTATTCCTATTTAATTTAATCAAATACCTATAATATAAGGGTATACATTATAGTATCATACAAGCATAAAAGCAAATGTATTCAGAGAAAAGATTTAGGTAAGCATATGCTAATTTTTCTAGTTGACTTATTGTTGTTAATGTTATAGAATGCTTTTCATTAAGGTTCCCTTCTGGAAAATAATTTGCTAGAAAATATACTGCAGGTTTTCCAATGTTTGGAACACTTAAGAAAATTAGTTAACGAAAAAACTTTTCAAAAGATATTTTCTAAGTCTAAGGGAAAACTAAGCCATTTCAAAAGATATTCTCTAAGTCTAAGGGAAAACTAAGTCTAAGGGAACACTTTAACCTTTATATTACAACTTTTTATTTAATATCTAAATTTATTAAAATGTGCTAATATGAAAACATATGCATATGCAATAAACAAGCTAAGAGACTACTAATACCTAAATGATTTTAGCTCAAATTACATAACAAGATGGTAATGAGAAAGGCAAAAGTTAATATAGTCAAAATTCACAGTGAATGTATTTTTCTGATACATCCAAGGTTCACCAATGCTTTTGGGCACTTACAGTGGCTTCTGGATTATGAATTAGTGCACATAGCACATCCACTAGCTCACCAAGGTTATGAGGAGGAATGTTGGTTGCCATGCCAACCTAAACAAAGAATTAAATAAACTCGCATTTCATCTCACTGGGCCACAAAATAGAATTACCATGTAGAGAAAAAGGAAAAAAAAAAAAAACATATGTACAAAATTCATCCAAGAAACACAAAAGAGGCTATAATATTACCGCAATACCAGATGAACCATTTAACAATAATGTTGGAAGACGAGCAGGCAAAAGTGAAGGTTCCTTTTGGGAATTATCAAAATTAGGAACAAAATTCACCTACAAAAAAGAAAACACAAAGATACATTGGATGACTTCAAACAAGAAAATCACTGTTGATAAACATCAAAGACTAGCTCTTACTGTATCAAGTTCAAGATCTGCCAACAAAACTGCTTCTGTGAGTGCCTGCAAAAGTGGAACTAAAATGGTCAGCATCCTTTAAGTTGATCATTTCTTTAAGCACCCAAGCAAAGTACATAACAAATATAAGAAACAGCCAAAAAATCTAAGGGAATCAAATTTTTCCACACATGATAAGACAAATTAATTTTGATCTTCTGAATGAAAAATATTATAGTAAAGTAGCTAATAATTATGGCCATATATTGTCAATGACTGATAAAATTGATTAATAGTACGAATGTGCTTAAAACAGCATAAAAAATATAACGAATTGACAGTGATATTAGCTATATGGTATATCCAAATCCAATTAGATAAATAAACTTTTAAACCTAATCTGATCCATAAATCCAATGGATTATTTCATCTTTGTTGCCATTGCTGGAGTGATGGGCACACGCTTCTCAGCACTGATTCGTATGTCCTCACTCTATATCCAAATCCTAACAAATTCAAATATCCAATTCTTATTAAAAAAACTAAGAACAGATATAGTGATATCATATCATTTTAAAGATGCCATCTGCATAATCACAATTAGATGTTAGCAAAAGTGCATGTAGATACAATGATTTTTAATTATATAATAATAGTTACTAATTATCCATTAAAAACTACATTGGATATCAAAATGTGAATTTTTCTTTTCTGAACCTTAAATCGCATAGTGAAAGATTTTTTTTCTTTGTCGGAGCCAACAAACAGCAACCATGATATTTGTATTTTAAGAATCTTCAAGAATCATAATATAACGAGGATAGAATAGACAGGCTAGACTTATACTGATATTCATCAGACTAATTGATTCCATTAGTTTATTGCTGACATTATCGCTGACATTATTGATTCCACTGATATTCATCAGACTAATTTTGGCAGAATAATTGATTCCACTCACAGGATAAAATTGGCAGAATAATTTTATTGCTGACATTATTGATTCCACTGATATTCATCAGACTAATTTTGGCAGAATAATTGATTCCACTCACAGGATAAAATTGGCAGAATAATTTTATTGCTGACATTATTGATTCCACTGATATTCATGGATTTGAGTCACTAAAGCCCCAGCTTATTGATTCCACTGATATTCATCAGACTAGACAGGTCATATCTGAGTTTTTAATAAATGGATTAATGGATTTGAGTCACTAAGCCCCAGCATAAGAAATCAAAAAACAAATCCAAGTTAGACAGGAATGTGAAAAGCTTTTGCGGGTTCAAGATAAGTTTAGGCTTGGAGGGGCAACTAAGCCAAACTTCAACAAAGAAAAACAGGCTCCTGCCTTCTTTCCAGCCCTAACATAAAGAAATAACAACTGTGAAACATGCAGACCAATCTGGCGTGATTGGAGCAAAGGCTAATTTAGTAACCATTTTCTACTTATAGGCTGCAAAATTAATCCATAAGTAGCTTAAAGTCAGATAGTGTGTGCATGGCTACTCAAAGTAAAACTGAATATGGCAGCATACTTCCAGCCTGCACTCTGTATAACGCATTGCGGCTGGAGGATCCGCATCAACTGAACCGAAATTCCCATGCCCCTGGATGAGTGGACTCCTTAAAGAGAAATCCTACATGAAAGATCGCTAGCATAAGTAAAATCTGTGTGATACTAGAAAAGTGAGGAAGTTTAGTATTCATAAAAAGAGACTGATGAATGAAAATAGAAAAAGCAAACACAAAAGAAAGTGAACTGGCAAGGTAACACTATGAAATTAAGCAGAAAGGTCTTCTGTCTAATATATGCATATAATGCATGAAAAATCTATGGCATAAGCGTTTGTGAGAAAAGAAATCAAGTATGCAATCATGTGATGAAACCCTTCTTTCATTATTTTCATTTTCTGTTTTAGGGCCAGGTGAAATTGGGGAAGGGCAATGCAATGATAACTGCACTTTTTCATGCTTAGAAGACCAATTGCTACACCAAAAGCTTCAAAGCATAATGGGAATTAGTGAAAAAAATGTAATATATTATTGTCAGCTCAGAAAGCAAAACCCAAAGCAGGTATGCATGCAATAGCAAAATCATTTAGAAACATAGAACACTATAAAAAAGTCTCAGTCCCACTTTACCTGTGCCATTCGCACCAGTGCATCATAGACAGCAGTGTCTCCATGGGGATGAAACTTACCTAGAACCTGCAGTAGAGGTATTAAACACATTAAAATAATCAAGTTATCAACCAAAAAGCAAAGGATGTGCTTCACTTAAATTCAAAGAAGTTCTAACCTCACCAACAACTCTAGCACATTTTTTGAATGGCTTTCTTGAGGAAAGACCCAATTCATGCATTGCAAATCTGCAGTCAAAATTTTGAGATGGAACTCATTAGATATTTGTTTTCTCAAACTACAGAACTAGTTTAATTCAGATATGAACGGAACACCAAGTAACCAGTTACAGAGGATAGAATGGGAATAAATAGGAACACACAAACGAAAAATAAAGAAGAAATTTCAAATTCTATCCTTATCCAAAATAAAAACATACACAGAGGTCCCAATTAGCACTCACAATATCCTCCGGTGCACAGGCTTCAGCCCGTCCCTGACATCTGGCAAAGCCCTTCCAAGCAAAACTGACATGGCATAGGCCATGTAAGCTTCTGTGGCCTCTTTGTGGAGCTCGGTAGGCACCACTCGCCCATTCCTGCCCCCATTAGAATCACTCACCAAGAGACCGCCATTTTGCTCTTCATTGTCCCTCTGCTCTCTCCCCGGAGAATAGTCTCTGCGGCGTGCCTGCACTGGCCGGAGGAGGGTCCCAGAGGGAGAGCCTGTTGATAAGAACCGGAGTTTAGAAAAGCCGTGGCGGAGCCTAGAGAAGCGGGTCTGGGCGAGAGGGAGGTGGTGACGGAAGAGAGAGGAAGATAAGCGGAGAACGGAAGAAAAAGCCATAGGATTAGGGTTTAAAACTAGGGAAGAAGAGTGACTCATGCCATGAAAAAGGAGGGAAAGTGTCTGTGATGGTTTTTTCTTTTTAGGGTTTTAGCTGTTTTTGTATGAAAGAATCGAGGGGACACCCGGGCGACGCGTTTAAAAAAAAAAATTATGTATTTAAAGACAATTTAAACCTTATTTATTGTAAATATATAAATAAGGATAGCGTTATTTCAAGACACTTTGTCGAATCCAGCAGCCAATTTTTTATCAATAATTATATATAGGAGCATTTGTTCCAAGGCACGATATTATACTTGGTAGGAGGAGAAATTACGCTTGGAATAGAGGGAAGATGTATTCAATTATCAAAAGGATAAAAATGTAAATGTAATCTCAGCAAATGAAAAATGAGGGACTCGAACAAAAGAAGAAATGCAACTATTTGAATACGAGTGAGACAGCAGTGATGAAGGTGATGAAATCTTAGAAATTGAAAGGGGAAATGTGCAATAGGAGCGACCAGTTTTCGGTGATTGGCCGGACATCGGAGGCGAAGTCAAAAAAAAAGTGAATTTTACAATTCAGCAACTCCTCGCTCTATTTTGCTGGCTTACTCTTCTCCTTTAACAATTCTTTTTTTTTCCTTTAATTCCCCGCTTCAACAGTTATTCTCTCTCAATCTAAGTTTATTATGTGGTCGCTACATCACCATTACAGTCATTGTTCATTCTTTGGATCTTGCTCTCTTCCAGTTAGGGATTACGATCACTCCATCATTGAGTAGCTTTGGGTCTCAAATTTCAATTACTTAGTAAATTGCCTTTTTTACCCCTTTATTAAATAATCAATTAGACCTAATGTCCTCGTTGATTTTTTGGACTTTAGTATTCAACTTTAACTCTATCTTGGCCCATCTTTAATATAAAAAATTGTCTCGTACTTCGAACGAATTGTTCCATATATTTCTACTCATTTTTATACCATTCGAACGAATTGCTCCATATATTTCTACTCATTTTTATACCCATCCTAATGACCCAATTGCTTTTAATGACTTAAATGAATGTCTAAAGTTAAATATTTTATTTAAAGTCTAATCCTTAAATATTTATTTCCTACTTTTCAAAAGAAAAAGAATAAAAAAAGAATATTTCGTATCCTCCTTTTATAACATGTCAGGCCTATCGAGATATTGTCTGCTTTGAGCAGAAGGCTAGCATGATTTTGTTTTCGGGCCAGTGAACCACCTCCCAACCCAAAACACGTCTCAGTAGCTCAAGATCTGCCACAACTTATATACATCACTTTCACCTTGTGCTTAGCTAATGTGGAATTCGCCTAAGGTGTCACGCCTTTTTCAGTAACAACAATTGAATATATGCTTTGCAAAACTAGTTTATACAATGTTGAGGTCTATTGCTTTCTTTTGATTCTTGGCTTTCAGGTTCCTGAATGTTTTTTATTGTTGTACTATAATTTTTCCTATTAATTATTTATTGAACAAACTTAATTAATTTTGTGTTATAATCCCGAAATTGAATTGATAGAATTTGTCATACTGCATGTATTTATATGTTATTGAAAATTAAGATTTATTATTATATCAAATGGATTTTTCAATTTGACGTTTATTTCATCATTTATCAACTCTTGCAATTTAAAAGAATATATTTTTATTTCCATTTTCAAGTAACCATGAAATACATAATTTTTTTTTTCTATTTTTTCTTAAAAGTCAAAAGTTAAGGTTCCACGCATATGGGTTAGATGCTTCGAAAAGTAACCTTCATATGCTTAGATTATCATTACTTTGTTTGTATATTTTAAAAATTTTTTAACTTGTATATTATCTTTGTCTAGTCTATGCAACACGTCATTACCATTTTATTTGCTTTGTTGATGATAAATTGGTGTAGTGAAGCATATTAAAATTATGTAGCAAAATAACTCGCTTGATTAGAGATATTAGGGCCCTGAAATTGAGCTAAATAAGAGTGTAGCTATTGGTTTTTTTTTATACAAAATTACTAGTTTAGTTTTGAGATAATTATATTTTGTTGTGCTTTGGTTTGAAGTTTTTTCTATTCTTTATTAGCTTTTAGATTGCACAAGAATTTATTATTTAATTTCAGTTTCCAAATAATCAATAACTATAGAAATTATTTTTTTGTTTTTTTCTTGAAAATTTTATATGAAAATGTTATATGTTATTGTAAATAACTTTCATATACAATACCCATCAAGAAGTAATCAGAGTGAGGAGCTAATAGATTTATTTTTTATACACTTGTTTACAAGAGTGAAAAAACTATCCAAAAATTTCAGTTTTTCAAGAGATAACCTAAGTGTTTTTTTTTTTAACATTATAGCATAATAACTTGTTGTCATGGAGAACCAAACTTGGATCAAGTAAGTGAATGATCAAAGTCTTTACCATCAGGCCACCATCTCAGGTGGCAACTTAATGTATTGAGACCATAAAGGCTTAAGAAACAATATTATGGAGATTACAAAGGATTTAGAATTAATAATCACTTTTGACTTTATGTTTTTATTTCATTGAATTTAACAAATTGTTAGGTTGATAAATATGTTCCACTTAACTATCTCATTGAAATAAAAAAATTATCATTCTCACATATGAAAGCAACTAATTAATATATTTGCTTCACATAATTGATATAGCTTTTTAAAGAACCAAAGACCAAATTTAAAAACTGCAAAAGACTTGAATCAACAGTTTCAAGGGAAAGCAAATACATAATTATACCCATAACTAAATAATGATATTGCAAATCTTGCAAATGGAAAAATTATATGTGTTATGTAAGTACAATCCATCACAAACACATTTGCATAATTTCTAGTCAATGACATCTTATATCTATTGGTCTTGTAAGTACAATCCATCACAAATATATTTGCATAATTTTTAGTTTATGTAATCGATGTTGGGTGAGTAAAAAATAAATGAGTTCTGCGACCATTTTCATTGTATTGCACATTATACACAAAGTCACATTTTGCAAGCTCCTCAAAAAATGCTTAAATTATGGTACAAGAATCTAAATTTTCTTTAAAGATTTTAACCTTTCATTGTACACAGTTCTTGAAATTGCTAGAAGATTTTGATTTTTCTGCCTAAGAGATGATAAAATCTGGAGTTAGGGTACACCTACTTTAATCGTTTTTTCAACGCTTAAGATTTCTTCTTTAAAACGACGACTAAAAAGGTGTGTACTTATATCTTCAGAAGGTATGATTATAATAATATTGTTTATTTCAATTTTCCAAAAACCATCATCTTGTCTTTTTCCTTTAACTTCAAAAGGACAATTTATAAGGCAACTTAATGTTTTTCTTTTTTATAGCTCAATTAGAAATCATTTCTATTGCGGTCACATCCCCCAAAATCACAATCACTAGATACATATTTATATCTAGAACTTTTGATAGAAATAGCATACTTTTGTATAAAGAAAACAACTTGAATATAATCAAAAAGCTCATCACGTGTTTGAAATTTCTAGTTGAGAAGCTCATCACTTGTACTTTTTGCTCACAAATTATTTATTGTCATTCACAAGCTAATCTTCCTTCCTCAATATATGTACCATCTGCATTCTCTCCCATATTATTTGTATGGAGAAAAATAGGAAAAACGAAGAATAAACATATTATACAAATTATTGACAAAAAATATAATACATACATAAGATATTTAACTAAAATCTATACATTTTTTACTTGCATTTTGCAAATCTGCATTTAAATGTCACCCACAACATGTTCAATATATAAGTTGTCCTTTATAGCATTTAGAAAATATTTAATTTATATTTATTAAAATAAAAATTAATATTATAATTTATATTGTAGTTCATAGTTCAAATATAAAGAGACAATTTACATCATATCCAAAGTTATGCCATGATTATTGTTTCGACGAAAAGACTTAATAATTAAGAGAGATTGATCATATGAAAAAAAGCTTAATAATGTTTGTGTTGCATAACAATAGTACTAAAATGAGAAAGAAAGAAAACTAAAATAATGAATTGGAGTTATTTAATTATTTCAAATAATGTGTGACTTGTTGGATTAATAACCAATAAACATGTGGAGATTCTTAAATATTATCAATGTCTTAAATTTTAGTCAATTGACACATGATTTAAGGGAAGATGTTTATTGCATTGATAAATGACCTATGTAGCTGTGTGCTTCACTACCTATAAACATACTATGACTCAGTTCAAAAATGATAAAAAAAGAAGAGAAGTTTTGCATGTACAAACACAATAATACTAACTTGATAGTTTCTCTTTATTTTAATATGTTATTATATGTTATTATATGGTTATATTGTGAAGGCAAAAGCTTTAAGAGAAATTTTATTTATATAGTTGCAGAGACAAACACATTGAAAAAAAAAATACTTTGATTAATGAAATATATTATTCTTGTAATAATAAATTTGTTTACACAATAAATAAGATTTGCTGAACTGTATGGAAAACTTCAGAAGGAAATTATTGCTATCAATTCTTGCATTGAGTTTAATGAAATAGTTCAAATATAGATAGAAAAATATATTTTAGGCAAATAATCAAACACCTTAACTACATTAATACCAATCCTTTCAATCTACAATTACAAAATTCTGAACTTTTAGCAGCCTGAATACAAAAATCTTAAAAATTTTAATTCTCCAATCAACCATCCAGTCCAAGGTTTCATTGTGGAATATTATCTTGCACTTTGCAAATCGTAAATTTCTTTGTTAGACATGATATGTTTAATTTTTGGATCATCATCCATAGTAAGATAACCATAGAATAAAAGAAACAACAAAGTTTCTGTGCCTTCAACACAAACTTGGAAATCCTGCTCCTGTCAAAGTTTTAGTGCGCAAAAAAATAATGAGATGGACAGAAGCAAACGGCACAATTAACTTAAGAATTAATTTTAGGTTAGTAAGGGCAATTGAGTCATTATTGTGGTATAAAATTGACTGTTCTGGATTTAACAAGAGCTTGCTCTGGAAATTACACGATTCATAGATAATTCATTTATAAATTATAAAATTTGATTTAATTTTATAATATTTATTAAAAAAATCATGTTCCCACACGAAACGTGGATATTCAATTTGTTATTATTTAATATTAATGATTTTAGTAATTTAATTAATTATCATAAAAAGGAATTTGAATGTTTCGTGCTTTTAAATGAATATTAATGATCATATTAATTTTAACAATAATTAA